TATATATTAGTCATTTATGGTAATTCCGTAGGTTTTATTTATGGAAATAAAATAAAATAGTAATTATATCTTAGGGAACAATCATTAAGTGTCATATATATATATTAGTCATTTATGGTAATTCCGTAGGTTTTATTTATGGAAAGAAAATAGCATATCATATCATTATATCATATAGTTTGACTAACTAATGTATCTAACAACCTATAAAAATCTAATGTGGACTTACTTATTTTTCAATTGAATCTAATTGACTACCTAATTGAATGACACCTATGCATTGGGACCTCTTTTAATTAATACAAAATTGAGGTTACATCTTTTCAAATGTTCCTCAATTAATATATAGGGGATATTGTAAGGTTTAAGAGAATTAATTTGTCTATCTAATGTTACTAAAATATACTTATTATCGATTATGAATTTAAAAAGATTTTTGAAATTAAGCGTGTTTGAATTAGAACAGTAAATCTAATTATGTTTCAAGAAATAATACACAATAATTGTTTTATCAGTTATATGATATGTATGATATCATCACATCACAAGGTACATTTCAATGAATTTCTTAATATATATACACATGAATTATTGAGCGTATAACAAATTATTACATTGAATATTATTATATTAAGAAAACACAACTGTTGACAACAACAACAAAAAACCCAACTCGATAGTCTGTCAATATTTCCCCATGCAACAAAATACGTACATTTCTCGTGATTCCTATTTTTTTTTTTTTTTTTTTGTATTTATCAGGGCCGGCCCTGGACTAAAGTCCATAAAGCAAGGGCTTTAGGCGCCAAAATTTGTTATATATTTTAGGGGCGCCAAGTAAATATATATAATGCTACCCTAGCTTAGTGGTTTGTGTACTATCCTTCTAACCCATCAGGTGACGAGTTCTATGTGCCTTAGACCAACCGCATCAGGGGTTTTAGAGGGGATTTTGGGCTCGGTATCATAGGCCCGTATGATTTAATTTAAATGAAAAAAGGGTTTAAATCGTCGAACCGGGACTTATGGATGAACCCGTAAGAGGGGAGTTCAAGCCACGCGGCAACGTCTGATTGGTGAAGGGAATCCGCGTTGTAGAGGGAGAAACACGGGTTTCGATCATTTCTTCTTCTTTCCAAAAAAAATTAGGGTTTCTCTCGACGAAGGCGATATCGAGTGCGAGAGAGGCGATTCCGAAGGCGACGACGATTCCCGGTGGTTTTCTCCATCCAATCGACGACGGTCTCTATTCTCGACGAGGTGAGTTCTTCTCTATTAGATGTAAAGGTCCGATTCAGTGGTTTTTGTTCTCAAAAGGATTTTTCGATTTTGAAATCAATTTGGGGCTTTCGAGTAAGGGATCCTAATCGATGTTTGGGTTTCGAAATAGGGTTGTTGATCGTGTTTGTATGTTGTTTTAGGGTTCGTTTCTCTGAGATTTGAAACCGAGATAGGGGTTTCGAATAATTGTGATGCATGTTTGTTTTTAGGGTTGGTTTAGCATGAGATCCTGATGCATGTTTGTTTTTAGGGTTCGTTTCTGTGTTTGAGGGTTTGTATCTCTGAGATTTTAGTGATCGATTCTCTGACATTTGTAACCGAGTTTGAGGGTTATATTGAATCATTGTAGTAGATTGTTGATTGTAGATGGGTATAATAACGATTGGAACTCGTTTCTTTATGGTTCGTTTGAATGAGTTTAAAGATAGGAACTTGTCTTTGTTTGATGGCTCGTTCTTAATGTACAAACCATTAAAGTTAGAAAGTTGTCTCTTTGTGGTTTGTCTGATGGCCCATTCTTCTTGTTTCTTTGACAGATGGATCCGGCAGCAGATAGAAGAAATTCGAAGATGCAAAACAACCACATCAACATGTTAGGCTTCGTTGCAGATGCAGAATACGGGATCCCTAGAAGGTGTGCGTGTGGTGGGAGACTGATTAATGAGGTTTGTGGGAAGGAGGTGTACGATACACTTCTTGGGAAGCGGTTTTTCACCTGCTTGAACTACGAGGTGAATGTGATCCCTAAACCATGTTGTCTTACTTAGGTGTTTTTTTACATAAAGTGTTTATAGACTGATAGTGTTTTTGTTGTAACTAAGGCTGATGGTTTGCATTACCGTCAGCCTTGGGTGGTAGGAATCCAAGAGGAGCTAGAGAAGCTGACTAAACGGGTGGAGGCGGCAGAGCAGGTGATGATGGGGGTGTTGGGTCTAAGCAAAAAGATTGAGGGTCTTGAGGTAAGTTTTTTTTTTTAAATCTCTTTCATCTTTGTTACTGAATAGTTTTGTACTTGTATAGAATTGAATAACACAAATCTTTTTGCTTGTATCATGTTCAGGAAGACGTGAAGATCCTCTATGCGCAAGTTTATGACCTCCGTGTGCAGGTGGGAACCCTGGAGAAGGTCTCCTTCGACTGACAAGCAAAGGTTAGCCTTTACTAAACCTTTAGAACTAGAACTATAATTTAGTATGATTAATTATTAAAACTTTAATTAGAAAGTATATATGCTTTTAACTTTAGTATGAGCAATTATTAAAACTATAATTTAGTATGATCAATTATTTAAACTATAATTTATTAAAACTACAACTAGAAAACTTTAATTAGAAAGTATATATGCTTTGGCTAATGAATGTTCTTGTTCATTGACTGCTCTAATGAATGTTCTTGTTCACTGCTCTAGAAAACTAGTTTTCAAAGATCAATAAATGGAACTAGAAGTGTTAAAACTAGAACCAAGTACACGAACTATAACTAGAAATT